AAAAAAAAAAAAAAAAAAATTCTGTCTTTTAAACTATTTGTAACTTTTCAAGCAATGTATATACTTAAATGTGTATTTTTTCCTCTCTCCTTAATTTCTCCTGAATTTACAAGCTATTCATAAGTATTCTTAATTTCTAACAATACATTTATTTGTATAAATTCAATAAGAATCTGTTTTGTTCTATAAGACATGATAAAGGCACTGGTTATTATACCAAGGCTTTGGCTGGAATAACATTTCCAGAGATGTCCAGACTACATTAAGGAATTAAGGTTGACTTTATAAAGCCAATAAAAAGCCCTTTGGAAAACAGGCCAGATACCCATCAGTAACATTTCCTGATCTGTGGTAAGTAATGAAGGTAACTTCCTTACAGGTCTGGGAATTGAAATGTGCTTGGGAACTTCAAGAAAAAGAGGAATTTACCCAATGCATACAGGTATCTAATGGCACAGATAAAACCTGGGCTCGTGAAAGGCTTCAAGTCCAACTGAGATTCCTTATAAAAGAGTCCAGCAAAGCCGATTTTAAAGAAAGGCCTAACTGACTAATAATTAATTATTCTTACTGTACTCTATGCAAATAATCAAACCCAGTATAATGAAGGTACTGTTTATTTTAGCAACTGCTGTCGTGAAAGAAAAAATCAGAGAAAAATAGTCCAAGTAAAAGAAAACTATAGCCCACCTATACTAAACTAATTTATTAAATAGAACTAAAAAACTGACCAAAGAGTATAAAACTCAACAAAGACCACCTGTTAAAAATTTGTGCAGCATTAAATATTACAAAGTAAAATACATAAACAGAACCATAAAAGCAGAAATTAGTAAACTCTGCCAGAAAGCAAAGCTTAATTAAATACGAGCCTTACCACTGATATTGTTCAAAGAGGCCTTTGTCAAAAACCACTGAAATATTTAACCATGTTCTATTTAATCTTTTACATCTGTACATTCTTTCTTTCTCTAAAAAATCAAGAGAACTCAAATATCAACCCACTACAACCTTCAGGCCAGCCCCCACCAACTATCCCCATACCAGGACGACCTGAGCGACCCCCAAGAGCCTGTGACTCCTAGGCCTGCCTCCATAAAAGGACCTGCAGGGAGAGGGACTTTGACAGGGACTTCTCCTGCAACTACCCTGCCATAGGGCAGCCCCCTGCCACATACTGCCCGAAAAAAAGACTAAGTGTGAGTGCCCCTTGAGACGCAGGGGTGCTCTCTGCCAGACAGTCTTAAAACTAGACAACACATAGCCTTTCCTGGCTAACTTTAGTAACCTTCCTTCCTAAAACTGAAAAACTTACACACCTTTAAGTAGGACCCAGAAAAAAAAAAATCAAGCTAGAGGTGATGTTTCTGACTCACAGCCCCAGCAGGTTAAAAAAGCTGCAGGAACAAAACTCCTCCTCCTCCTCTTACCCACTACCAACCCTAGTGATTCAGGTGAATCAAGGATTTGATTCCCTGAAAAGACCAGTGGGGAATGAAATGGGCAAGTTCTCAGCCCTCCTCCCTCTTACTCCCTCTCCCCAGAGTTGACTCCAGGAATGGGCCCACCTCCCTCCTCCTCCCTCCCCCAAGTCAACCCTAGGAACGGGACAAGTTCCCAGCATTGACTCCCTCCTCCTCCTTCCCCCTCTGAGGCGAAATAAGGAAGCACAAAGAGTCCCAAGTTCAGGTGAACAATGGTGGGAATTTACCCAGATTGTAACCCCAAGCTGTAACCCCCCTGCCCTGAACTAACCAGCCATGCTTTGCTTCTGTAGTTTGCTTACTCAAAAATTATATAAGGCAACCTGCCCTCTACTGGGACAGACTGTCTCAGAGCAGCAGTCTCCTGTGCAGCTTCAATAAACCTCCAATTGATTTGCACTTAAGTGGAGTCCACGTCTATCTTTTCAGGTCATAAGGGGCACAACAAAACCCAGCCCCAGCCAGACACTGCAAAATAAATAAATAAAAATTAATGTTGGGGCTCAGTGCCTGTGGCTCAAGTGGCTAAGGCACCAGGCACATACAACTAAGGTGGCAGGTTCGAATCCAGCCTGGGCCCGCCAAACAACAATGATGGCTGGAACCAAAAAATAGCCAGGCATTGTGGCAGGCACCTGTGTCCCAGCTACTTGGGAGGCTGAGGCAGGAGACTCACTTGAGCCCAGGAGTTGGAGGTTGCTGTAAGCTGTGATGCCATGGCACTCACTACCTCAGGGCGATAGCTTGAGGCTCTGTCTCAAGGAAAAAAAAATTAATGTTGGTACAAATGCCCATCAGCAAGAAGAGTAAAACAAAACAAAAAAATCCAAAAATGCTTGAAACAGATTGTGTGAAGTCTAATAAAGGATATACTTAGATTAAAGAGAAGTTGCCTATGGATTAAGTCTTCCAACTGACACAGAATGCCTAACAGTTATACAAGTATTTCTCAAAAGCAAATATTGTTAAGAAATATTAAACTCTATTGTCTACGGTATAGTTTTATGTTAGGCTCATGGCCAGGAATTGGATTTGGGTTTTCCTTGCATGTTTTCCTTTCCTAATATGAAAGATACCACCAAATTTTATTTTTTAAAAGGACTCAAAAAAAAAATCAAATGAAATTAGAAACTTACAAAGAGTTCATCAGCTATTGCTTCATGTTTATTCATGCACAGTGTCTTCCCAATGCGTTCCTTCAATTCTTTCAGTTTATTATCAAATAGTTTGTAATTTATACTACCGATCTCCTGTCGAATCAAATGTCTGACCTAGAATTTTAAAATAAAAAACAAAACACCCCATGTTTCAAATTTACTATAACCAATAAGACATATTTTATTTGTATTTATATGTTTATATTTATATTGCTATACCCATAAGTTTTATAAAACTTGAATATTAAACTCAACAGAACATATCCAATATTTAAATATTGGTTGGTGGACATGTTAGAAATCAAATTTATTCACGTAGTGAAAATTTTATTTTCCTACAGTGCCAGCTGAATTCCATAATAAACATTATAGGAATAATTTAAAGACTATATCCCATTTATATTTTTTAATATCTTAAGTGAAAGTTACTATTCTGCAAAAAGGAACTCTACTTATCTGAAAAACAGAGCCTGATGAAAATGGTTCATTGGTCTGTCTGCAATAGATACAGAACAAATTATACAACTTTGAGCCTTGACCTTACCATTAACAAGCTATGACCTTTCAGAAGTTACACCATTTCTAAGCTTCACTTTCTTTGCCCAGAAATGGTTAGATAATACAATAAATGTCTGTTCAACAAGTGATCTCTAAGAATTTTTTTTTTTGGTGCTGCAATTCACAAACATTTATAAAATATGGAATGCTTCATGAACTTGCGTGTCATCCTTGTCCAGAGGCAATGCTAATCTTCTCTGTATCGTTCCAATTTTAGTATATGTGCTGCTGAAGCAAGCACTCTCTAAGGATTTTTTATAAGAGTAGAGTAATATGTAAAAATAGCTCCATAAAAAAAAAACTGAATTGATATGAGGGGAAATAAATATACAAGATAATCACCATTAGTTGCATAATGTTTTTAAAGGGTGGCTTTCTTATTTGCTAAAACTGAAAGATGCCAGGGACACTATCTGGCATAATCCATGGTATTCTAACAGACTGTAGTAGCTATCATATGAAATATGAATGTGTTTTGTTATCTGGCTGTTTTATTCAAAACAGACTGGCCCATTTTGGGGGAGAATAACCAATCTCAATGCCCACTGATATTAATAGCTCTGCCAGGCTATACATTCAGAAACATTCACTGTAGTTTTCCTTGAAGTGCATATTCTCCCATAAGCAACTTTCACAACAGAATACATACTGAAATAATGACACCTGTCATAAATACATTTTAGGTATTTAATAGTAATATTTATATCTTCCCCCATTATCTTGTTCAAGGTGCTCAAAATTGGAACACATAGCTCCTATGTTAAAACTCTTTTATAATCATATCACCTAATTATGTATTCTTTAATTTTATTTGATTTTTCCCAAGGTTTTTCCTTCTTGTTTCTTATTTCTCAAAGTTGTCTACTCGACCTCTTCTGTACTGCTTCACTAACATTTTTTCCATGGTTTCACAACATAATTAGACATGATTGTCATTATTAACTTTCACAACTTTTAAGTATCTGGTCAAGAAAATAAGTGCTCATGATATATTTTGTAAATAAACAGTCAGAAACACTATTTTTACCTACAGCCATTACCTATTACCCATGTGTGGGTTTTATGGATCATTATATGCTTCTCAGTTCACTGGCTTGGGTTAATATGTGAAGTCGTACCCACATGAATCTTGGAGAAACATGTCTACGTATCTTAAACATGGAGACGCTGTTTAGTACAGTGCTTCTTAAACTTCCCTAGTGAGGATGAACCACATGGGATACTTTTAAAATCACAAATTCCTAGATCCCATTCTGGACCTACTAATCAATCTTCAGGAAAGAGGCCTAGAAAGTTGTATAATTAACAGGGACTATAAATGATTCTTATCAGGTATATCTGAGAAAACAGTAGCCTAAGACAACAGTCTTAAATGATTAGCTCAAGAAACCACAATTTAAATAAATACTTCTGGTGATTCAGATAGAGGCAGATCCTTAAACTTAATTATTCTGGGTAAGTATCCACCAAGGGGTGATTCCTCTTGTATAGAAGGTACTATTTCCCACTTAGTGTTAAGACTCCTTATACAGAAGAAAGACAAAGACCAGGCACGGTGGCTCATGCCTGTAATCTTAGCATTCTGGGACACTGAGACAAGCTGATTGCTTAAGCTCAGGAATTTGAGACCAGTCTAAGAAAGAACAGAACCCATCTCTACTAAAAATAGAAAAACTATAGTGTTGTGGTGGGCACCTGTAGTCCTAGCTACTTGATAACTAAAGCAAGAGGATGGCTTGAACCTAAGAGTTTGAGGTTGCTGTGAACTATGATGATGCCACAGAACTCAACTCTGGGTGACAGAGTGAGTCTGTCTCCAAAAAAAGGGTGAGTGAAGACTGGGGCCCAAATCTTAGTGGTTAGGGTGCTGGCCACATGCCCCAGGGCTAATGGGTTCGAACCCAGCCTGGGCCTGCTAAAACAAGAAAAAATATAGCCAGGCCTTGTGGCAGGTGCCTGTAGTCCCAGCTACTTGGGGGGCTGAGGCAAGAGAATTGCTTAAGCCCAAGAGTTTGAGGTTACTGTGAGCTATGACGCTATGGCATACTACCAGAGGCACCAAGTGAGACTTTGTCTCAATAAAACAAAAAATAAGACAGAAAGAAAGAAAGAAAGAAAAAGGAAGACACAATAACTTCCATTAAATACATCATGAATGTGTTTTTCCAATGGTACCGTGCCCAGCATTGTAGAGTCAGATAGACATCCTCATTTCAATTTGCAGATGGCAACCAAACTGGACAAAAATTTGGAGGAGATACAAACTCACAAATCCCCTTATCTGTCCCAACTTTGTAAGACAGTGGGTAGGGTGAATAACTTGTACATTAGAGGAATGAATAATCTTTTCACTTCAGTAATTTAACTGGGATTCACCCCAAGATCCTAATGATACCTCAAAAGGTAAGAGATAATAGCTCTAAGACTCTCAGGAGGGAAGAACAATTTCAGAATGGGAGATCCTATCTCACTGCTATTCAAAGAAGGTAAATATACAGATGTAGTTTATAGAGAGAATTGTTTAGACAGAAACAAGTGAGGAAAACCTAGCTATTTAGAGATAACAGGTCCATATCAGAACTTATTTCAGATGCAGCTACTAATTAGTAGGAACAAGACACAGCTAGAATCCATAACCTTTTTCTTGGATAACATGGTCCTTAAGCTAGATCCATACTTACCAAAATACTACCACCCCTTCCCTGCCAACAGAACATTTACATAGTATTTATTATGTCTCCTTTGGTTTTGTGGGAAAAAACAAGAGAGAGAAAGGAAAAACCTATTGACTCACCTTTTAAGTTCTGCATGAATCTTTCAAAAAGAATTTGTTTTACACACATTCATAGGATATGCGAGTATGTAACTATCATAGTCTATTTTAGAAAACATTAGATTTTTGTTTCTGAAACAGTCTGCAGGATAGTTTGAACCAAGAAATTTTGGTCCATTACAGCTGAGACATTTACCTACCACATAAATGACTTTTAATAGTGGCATTGTAGTGGTTGGTAGTGATAATGAAACATGATTATCAAAACAGATCCTAATCACAGTCATTCTTTAAGTTCATTACACTTCAACTCAGAATTGATCAGACATATATGGAAACAATGAGATGAGGTGAAAATGAAAGTAAGAATTACATTTAGTGATGCTATAAAGCAAAAAGTCAGATAATATACCTTATCTGTGTAAGTACAGAAATTAGGGCAAGTAAATTTGAATGCAGCAAGACTCTACAATGGACTGCTGGGTTTTCTAAATCTAAAAGTAGTAGTCAACTGTGAAGAGGTGCACAAACAGATATACCTCCAGATCAAAGAACTCCATGCCTAGTACAGAAGAGATCAAGTTGTTGAGCAAAACCAAAGAAGGAAGTCACGCAGTATCTGACTCAGAGATACCTGAGAATAATATTGACTAAAAGCTCATTTCTCAAACAGGACTCTACCTCCAGCTGATTCTCTAAGTTACTTTGTATGAGATCATGTTCAAGAAACTAGAGATATTTTGGTAATTTAAACAATTATCTTTCCCTAATTTGTCATACCAGCTTTACATCAAATGAAAGTCATCTATAGTATGTATTTGTGGAGATCAATTAATTTTTACCATTTTTTTACTAGTCAAAATAAATTTTTGAAGCACATATTTAAGCCCCAATATTTTACCTGTTCCAGCAATGCTGTTTGCCTTTCCAGAGCTACACAAATATTTTCATTAATTTGCTCTGAAGTTTTCATGTGTTTAACATTTTCTTTGTTTTCTGAAAATATCCTCTTCTTTTGATAATGGCCTTGGGGAAACGGAAAGATCAGAGATAAGGGTGAAAAGGGGAATTTCTCATTTAGAGACTCTCTAAGCATATGAGAAAACTAAGAAGTGATAATGGCAGCATTTTTTAGAATATGTAATGGCTGGCTCAGCGCCTGTAGCTCAAGGGGCTAAGGCGCCAGCCACATATACCTAAGGTGGTGGGTTCGAATCCAGCCCAGGGCCGCCAAACAACAATTACAGCTGCAACCAAAAAATAGCTGGGCATTGTGGGCGCCTGTGATCCCAGCTATTTGGGAGGCTGAGGCAGGAGACTCGCTTGAGCCCAGGAGTTGGAGTTTGCTATGAGCTGTGATGCCACACCACTCTACCCAGGGGGACAGCTTGAGGCTCTGTCTCAAAAAAAAAAAAAAAAAAAAAGAATATACAATGGCATATAAACATTCCCCAAAACGATTCCTTTAAGGAAAAATTAAGGTAGAGTTCTAGTCTAGATGTCCTGCTCCTTCAAACTTATTTAATACACGCACCCCAATAAAAACATAACAAAATTATAGGATTTAATCCCTTGTTATAGGTGGTGCCTGTAGCTCAGTGGTTAGGGCGCAGGTCACATGTTCCAGGGCTGCTGGATTTGAACCTGGTCCAAGTCTGCTAAACAAACAAACAAATAAAAAAAAAATAGCTGGGCATTGTGGTGGGCACCTGCAGTCTCAGCTACTTGGGAGGCTAAGGCAAGAGAATTGCTTAAGCCCAAGAGTTAGAGCTTGCTGTGAGCTGTGACACCACAGCACTCTACTAAGGGCAAGAAAGTGAGACTCTGTCCCTCCCTCACAAAAAATTCCCTTCTTATAAGTTGTACATTACTTTTATAAGCAGTTACTTAAGCAGTCGTACATAATTTTAATAGGTGATCCTATTATTGTAAGCAATTTTTAGCTCATCTTGTTAAATGATTGCTCCATACCCTACATAATACAAAATTTATCTTATGAAATCAGTTTTTTTCGATTTACTTAACTAAAATACACTACTTCTAATGAAATGTAGTTTTACTATTTTAACAATGTTACAATCCCAAACTTCATTTGTCATTTTGTTTGTTTCTATTTTTCTCCCTACATACACATATGTATATGTATCCATATTATTATTTGTCATTTTTTATACTCAGCAGATGATTGGCCAGGCATGGTGGTTCACACCTGTAATCTCAATAGTTTAAGAGGCTAAGATGCTGAGAATCACCGAGCCAAGGTATTGGATGCTGCAGTTAAGCCTAAGAGTTCAAAGGTTGCTGTGAGCTTTGATACCACAGCACTCTACTAAGGGCAACACAGTGAATCTCTGTCTCAATTAAAAAAAAAGAAAGAAAGAAAGAAAGAAATGTAGGTGAAATGGACCAAACAATTGCTACATGTATAAGCTACCTTTTGATCTTTTTGTGCTTTTAATAGAAAGTGATTGATTCCTTCTTTACCAGAATTAACTTACCTTTTGATTTGGTGGATACCTTTCCCCCTCCTCACCACAATGGTTCAGAAATGTTGTCATCATTTACCTTTTTCCTGCCTATTTGTATATCTGAAGCTTTAAAATCCCCCCAGAGAAAATGACTATTTTAATTTCTCCAAAAGATGCCTAACACTTACTGTGATTACTATCAGCATCAAGTGATAACTGCCACGTCGCCTCTTTACTTTCACAATTTGAAATGCTGGAATGACAGGTCCGACTAGATATTTCAGTTTTTAAAACCTCAGCAGCACAGATGGAGTTGACTGAATTCACCAAGAGAGGTATTTTCTCAACAGGCACAAAATTTGAGTCTGAACTTAAAATATTGTAATTTTGCCTTTTATCATGTGACTTTGGGTTGAAATTTGTTTCTAAGTGGGAAGCCATCTTGTCCATTCTCTTATCATCCAAAGTATTGGTTACTGTAGACTTCGGTATTTGAATTACATCACTTAGTACACTGGGTTGAGAGCAAATAGATTTTAGAGCCTCTTCTAGTTCAAAAAAGGATCTTGTTACAGCTGCCTGATATCCAGACTGGTTTTCAAAAGTGTTTCCTGAAAATTTTGCCTCTTGTATAAAGAGTTTGTTGGGAGAATCTGTTGCTTTACTTGGCTTTTGATGTGGACATGCATCTTGTTCATAAACATATTCCATTCCTGTTTCTGAGTTAACAATTTCTTCTAATGGTTTAATTAAATTCTGAGGGAATACTTCACTGCTCTGTAAGAATACCGAATTTCTGGTAGAGTCCAGTGAGGAAGCAACGTCTTCAGAACGTATACATTTGCTAGTTATGACACCAGTACTTAAATTCTGATTACTACTTAGAACATTATTCCCAGGAACATTACTCCCAATTGCTGTTATTTTCAGTGCTTCAATGTTCTTCGACTTATTCAGAATCTCTGTTTGCTTCCGGCAACTTGTAGGCATTGTTTTCTTGGCTTTTAATATCGTCCATTTACTTTTATCTGGACTTGCCATCTCTCATATCCTGGAATTAAAGATATCATATTTAAATCCAATTCCCTAGTGAATTAAAGTTATTTATATACAATATTAACATGATGTTGACACTATCTCTTCAGATGTAGATAATCACTTTATTAGAAATTATATCCATTTTCATGTCACTGAAAACATAAAAATATTTCCAATTTTTTCTATAAACCTAAATTACATAAATTCAATTTTTTTTTTTTTTTT